CCCCCCCCCCCCCCCCCCCCCCCCCCCCTCCCCTTCAACCAAACACCAAAGGGGAACACGACTATTTTTGCCCCATTTTTATACAAAAAAATCTTATTTCTATTTCTTTAGAACAATTGCTTCTTTAATATAACCACTGGCTTTTTCGTGTTTGAAGTTTGCTCGTTTTGCGTAGTGAGAAAATATCGTTTTTTTGGCTTGCGGTTTATGCCATGCGCAAGGATTTCAGTTCGACTTTGGTTGAGGGCTTTTCAGTGGAAAGATGTATTTCAACATTTAGTGGTTACTCGTCACTTATAATTTTCTTACCCAGCAAATATTAGGAGTCCCATTGATTGGTTAGTTTACTCGTTGGAAGTCAAGTAAACTTACATTAGGGGTGTTACTTGTAGAGATTGAATCAAGGTTCTTTAATTAAATATATCCATATCGGTTTTTATTTACTTTCCTAGCATATCAAAGAACAGATCAATTAGTTGATTGAATTTGACCTTTTTATCATTCATTTGAGTATTCATTTCGTATATATTAGTTTTAACTAATCTTTTCCAAAATTGTCACAGGTTTATCTCTCTCTCTCTCTCTCTCAAATGTTATTCCTTTTTTTGTGCTCTAAATGATTAAATAAATTGCGAATTCTTCAAGTGATTTTGCTCTGCCAGGTGCAAGCGATATGCCGTTATGGTAAGTGAGCGCTATGCCAGATCATACTATGACTGATGGAATTGCGTTAACTTTGTGATTTGTCTAAAGTCGGGAGGGAGGGAGGGATGGAGCAGGTCTAATAAGCTCAAAATTTAATTTATGCATCCATAAGGCCCTTCCAGCCGCCTCCTTACCTCCTTGCCAAGGCCCGTCAATTGCTCGTGATGGTTCTATATATTGAGTTTCGCTGAATTGGCACTGACGAGCTTTGTTATCTTAATTTCTGCCTTGCAAGCGTACATCTTCACCCTCAACGCTAATATGCTCTATTTACTAACCAGCTGACTTTATATTACCTGCTTTGTTTTTTGTAGAGCGCTTCTCTTCAACTTGCTCTTTGATCTAGCCCGAACATCCTATGTGCTCAGAGCTCAATTGGCGCGCACTGCTGGTTTAGTGGTGTTTTCGCAGGCTCTTCGCAACTCTCCATCCAGTCGTCATCTCTCTGACTCCCTGCTCAATGGACTTCTCGAGGCATCGCGGTACCTCATCTGCGAATTGCTTGTAGCCTCACGAAATTCCGCGGCAGCCTCAACCCTTTTAGCGCTCTTCAGACAACTTTTTGACAAGTTGCTCTTTGCTCATGGAATGTGGTTGAGAGCGCCAATTAAGGTTTGTTGCATTTTCTTTATTAGTGTGATTTTTACGATTCAATACCCTGCATTAACTTCGGGCATTCACTTCAATGTGCAAGTAGTTTTATAGGAGCAAATTTAGCTCTTATTAATGAATATTATAGCCTTAAACACGATCCTTTTCCCTCAGTAAATATTCTTTCATTCATTTCAAATGGCAGGCGTTTTTTGATAGTTATCATTAGCCTTTTAGTTGACTTCAGGCTTCACAGAGGGGAGGAGGAACATCAAAGTGAAAAAGTCGAGAAAGTGGAGGGGGGGGGGGGGGGGAGGGGACAGACAGACAGACACAAAGGCAGAGAAAAGGTAAGGTGAGTTCTGTGGAAGTGGTCGAATATGATCATATACAGTGGGGTGATGGTAGTTTGAAGTCAGAAGTCAACTGCAGGTTAATAGACTTTTTTGCCGTATGAGTATACGTTGCCCAGGGTGCACCACGTGGAGGTAAGTCTATCGCACACCCCAAACTTGGAAATAACATATTACCTTCCTGAATGCTTAAATCCCCTCAAGATTACTAATGGCGTATACGTATGATAACATAAAAAACTTCATCCCATGAAATCTCTAAAAAATCAGTTAAATATTTGTTCCATTTATTGGTCGTTATTAAATTGAATTTTTCGATTTTTTTTTAATTTCATTTGGCATTTTTTGCCATATTTAATTGACGCCTACGCACACACACATTTGGAAACAATTGGATTTGACTTCTTTTCAAATAAAGTTGAAACATTCTGAGAAGTTCTTTCCGTAGATGTTGCAACTGTTTTTGTCACTGTTGAAGCAGTTTTCTCCATTTGGCAATTTCGATCTTTTAATCTCCCTATTGAGGGCCACTTGTGGGGAGGGGGTAGAGATAGAGTTTTCAATTTAACAAACATCTGGGGATTTCGTTCCAGAGGAGAAAACGATCTCTCGAAACCTTGATTTCAAGATGACTCTGCTCTTGAATTCTTCGGGGTGTGAACTACTCGAGCAGGTTCTTTCATTTGAACCCTAATGCCGGACTCAATTGAGCACAATTGTGTCAGATGTCGGTTTTTTAATCGGGAGAATTTGCATTTTAGAAATAAACTGAATTGCCTCCTAAGATCGTTTTTATTTCTTAATTTTGGTCTAGAACTTCCAATATCTCTGAGTATGCACTTTAATTTTCATCAGCGTTATTTCGCCTTGAGGACAGTTGTGAGGGATTGAGCAGCATGTAGGAAGTAAACTTGTGCACATGTGTGTGTGTGTGTTTGTGTGTGTAAACTCGAATTCTCCGTCGTCGAATCTGTCCCATATTTACGTTGAGAGCTTTTTAAATTCCTTCGTGAAGTAATAATATTTTATTCAACACGATGCCACGATTCGATTCAGTCCTTTACTTTGAACGATTTGCTGATGGACGGTTAAAACTCTGATAAATATTGCTTAAAATTGTGCGTTCCTGTACGCCTATGAATGCTGGTTCACTGTTTAACATGCATCTGCATACTATCATTTGGATGAGTTTCTGCCAGGTGATTGAACCTCAGTGATTTATAGTTCGCCTAAATTTTTCCCTCCTGCTTTAGGTCCAAGATCGACTATATGCGTACCTTGCAGATGAATTCCGAGTGGATTTGCTGGGTCAGTCAGGAAGGTCAATTGTAGCTTCTGCCCTACATGCCATCAAGTACTACTTCTGGATCGTCAAGCCTGCGGAGCCCCTTCTCGAATCTACTCCAGGTGAGCATACCTTTTATCTATTACCCTCTTCGTTAAAATGCCCAGTTCCATTAGTCGGGACGTTCGTGGTCTTTAGCTTGGGTAAATAATAGCTGTTCTAGAACCCCTCTTGCAAGTGACTCGCATTCTGCCATCTCCGTTGTTGGCCACAATTGGTCATCCATATCACTAGATATCCATTCGAGATCGTAAATCTTGTGACCTCTGACTGGACAAACGTGTGCGCTGATGACCACTGCCCCGTCGTTTGATTGAAGTATATTC